TCTCTCTCTCTCTCTCTCTCTCTATATATATATATATATATATATATATATATATATATATATATATGTGTGTGTGTGTGTGTGTGTGTGTGTGTATATATACCTTCCCTTTATCCACTCCTCATCCTCCATATATATGTGTGTGTGTGTGTGTATGTATATGTGTATGTATATATATGGATGTGAGAATTTTTAAATAACCATGGTTTGATAGCTTTATTTTAAACATTTCTTCCTTTTATCTCCTTTTTCATTTTCATTTAATTAGTAAGGACAAACCAAAGGACTATGTTTTACTTAGAAATTTCCCCAGTAGATTTTCAACATTAGGCACATTTTTTTACTTTGGAAGTTACCGTACACAAAATAGATTTGCTGTTACATAATAATTATATATTCATTTCTCCATTTTCTAGTATCATTTCCTAGTTTTCTTACTTAGTTTACTCTTGAGGTTGTTTTAGGCTTTCATTAGTATTATCTTCATAGCTCATGGCCTGGTTCAAAAGTCACCACTTTAATCTTTTATTACAATAGCATCCCACTAATATGTAACAAAAACTACAGCATTTATTTTATAACAAATTACCTCCAAAATTTAGCTGTTTAAAATTATAAAGATATATTCATTCACATTTTACCTGGATCACAAATCTGAAAAAGGCTTAACTGAATGGATTTGGCTCACAGTTCCTTATGAGGCTGCAATTAGAGAGTCAGCTGAGATTTCAGCCTTTTGAGATTTTGTTAATCTGGAATATATACTTCCAGGAAGTACACTCTTGATTTTTGAGGGCACTTTATTCATTCCTGAGAGCCTTCCATGGGGCTGCTCACTCTTCTGAGGAAAAAAATAAAATGGAAGAGGCTAGAGAAGACAGAATGAGGGCTAAGCAAAACAGGTGGTAGAGTATGAATGTAAGTGGTGGGGAGTTCCAATATGAACAGTTTTGTGAGGTGGAGACCTCAGCCATTTATAAACTAAGGTCTAATAACATACTCCACAGTATTCTATTACTCACCTAGGCTACATGTAACATAGGGGGACACTGGAATTCAGACAGTACAGGAATCATTGACAGCTTTCTTGAATCAGCTAACACATGAAAAATGTTTTAAGTTTTTTTTTTTAGTTAGCTTTGAAAAATGAATAGATGAGGCAAAAAATTAGTAAGTCCATCTTGGGCACTAAGGCCTTTTTTATAGGTGGCAACGTTCTTTCTTTTCTAGCCAAATGGCACTTTTTCCCCAGTACGAATGGAGGACTGCATTCTAGGCCACCACTTTACAACATCTTAAAGCTAGAATCCATGGCTGCTTAAGTCTTACATAAAACAGCATGGTGTTTACATATTGAAGAGTCAGTGTACCTCTATTTTAAGCTTAAAAGCCATCTTACAGTAAAGGAAAACTAGGTTTATTTCCTTTATGATTAAACCTGTTTCACAAGGATTGGGCTATGCCCCACTTACAACCTTAACTATAAATGCTTCTGTAATGATTGTTCCAGGAATGGCAATCATGTCTTTGTTTCAAAAAGTTATTCATAACCACTTTGCAACCTTACCTTCGTTTCAAAAGGTTATGTAGCCACCTATGACTACCTTGTAATGACTGCCTGTTGTTATGACTACCTTGTTATGCCCACCTTGCAACCATGTCTTTGTTTCAGGAGGTCATTAGGACTAACTGGTTATGCTTATATTCTGCTTATGTAACCCCTCATGTCTTGCCCACCAAGTCCCCCATTTGGAAACCCCCTATCCCTGAGCTATAAGAGCCTTATTTTCACATCCAATGCTGACCTCTAGAACCTCACCTTAGGGGGAGGCACACGAATGAAAAAGCTTGCTTTAATTGCCTGCTTTAATTATTTTCACCATGATGATTTGGGTCAATGGTCTTTCTCCTCCCATCTTTGGGATTAACAGTATAACCTGCTTACATCCTTCCAGATGCTACTTGCCCATAAACCTGAGCATAAACTCACATTGATCTTAAGTTGTGCTCTTTTTTTTTTTTAGTTATGACAGTTTTGCACAAGCAGCTTCAGAGCCATATTAAGTATTCATCAGCTAAGAAATGTTTCTGTCTCTTCTCGCCTCTCACCTGTACACATTCCATAGTATACCACAAAGGAGACATAGAACAGAATTTAAACTTAGCTTTAAACTCAGATGGAATTCTAGTTGTTCAACAAATTGAATTGTTTTTGTTCCTTCCGTGGTAAATTTAATCATTGTGAATTGATGACTAATACTAATCAATAAACTACAGGGATCTTACACAAAAATACTTAACCTATAAGACTACCATCTTATGAAAACAGATAATGTGAAGCAAAATTCAGTGTTTAAAAGTAGAGAGTTTTTATAGAAGTCTTCTAGTTTTCATGAAGGTAGTAATTAATTGTTTGTAATTTCTGTGTCCAATGAAGAAACTATTTTTCTTTAATTAGGAAGCATATAACCACTGGAGCTTGTATATTATCATCTCAAGTATGAAAACTTACTTGCCGTTTTGACTCTGATATATAAAATAACCATTTAGTCTATATCTGTTTGCTTCTCTTACCTTACAAACTATCACCTCTGATAACAGGTCACATTTACTAAGCTGTTTATATGCCTGATACAGTTTCATATTTTAGCTACAGTCTCATAATTTCTGCAGCATTTTATGATGAAGCCCTACTATGACTCCCACATTCTTTCATTGCTACTTTAATAAATGGGGACAGAAAACATGGAGACACTATGTGGCTAGCCTCAGTTCATCAAGGTTGCTAAGATTCCCACCTGGAGCTGGGGGTCTGGTTCAATGCCAGAGTCTAAACAGAGAGTGAAGACTAAAGTGCTGCTCTTTGAGCCCATGGTGCCTTCTCAAGTGTTCGTCATAATTGGAAAGTACTTGCTTTGAAATAAATAATACGTTATGCAGTATCGCCACCAAGTCTGAGAGAATGTTTTGTGATTTCATAATGGTCTACTGGTCCATAATTGGATTTATATTGACTTAGGTTGAATTTTGTTACAAAATGTAATAATAGACATGACAGAAATAGGTTTCTTCCTTTCCTCCCTATGACTTTTTAATATTTTCAAATCCTCTTGTATTGTAGTCATGAACCTATTATGATAAATACTGTTGGGACGATTTTCTCTTGTCTTTTTAACAGGTATTCTAACTAATAATGAACACTGAAACTAGGGAGCATTACCCCCTATTCTCATACAGCTCTGGGCCAGACAGGCCTGTTTGTATAGTGCCGATCTGCATAAGTAAGTGTCTCTAGAAGTAGGTCTGTTTGGAAGCAGCAGGAAGCCTTCCCAAGTGTCTCAGTAGTCCTCTACAGCTTTTCATTCTTTCTTCCTCTGAAGGCTAGAGTGAATAAAGGGAATCAAATGAGGACAGATCTGTGTGTCAAATAGGAGACTTGGGAGAAGCTTGCTGTGACTTTATAAATGATATACCATCATTCTAGATAGCTTGTTTTCAGTGGCTGTACAAATGTAAGAAGTGCAGAGAAAGCAGTTATGATAGGATATTAGCAAATCAGGAATCTTGAGTACTGCTCTGTGTCACTGTACTTGCTTGTTGTTCTTTATAGTGATAATTTCTCTATGTAAAAGAAATAATCATAAATGACATTGATGGGTATATATGAAATACATTTGACAGAATAAAAAAATTCATTGGTAGAGAGTTCAGATGTCTTCTTAGTCTCTGATGTATGCTGTATATTGCCTACTTTTGGCTCATATAGTTTGTATTCAAATACTAAACTTAGTCTTAATACCTAATAGAATGTTTGAACATTTAATTATGAAGGTAAGTTCTACTCCCATGACTAATTGTTTGATCTGTACTTTTGCTTGAGATAGAAATAAATGAATTTTTTTTAAAGTCACTTTTGGAAGAAATGCAAAACCACATCGACATAGTTGCTCTTTCTAAGCCACAGAGACTGCTCACCACTGTGGACTCCTGCTAGACACTGCTGATGTCATTTCCTTGTAAAACCCCTTGGTTGTTCATATTTGTCTTCTAATGATGCTACGTTTATTTCTTTCCCAGATCTTCCTCAGAACTGTGATCCTAACATTCCCTTAGTTGCTCAGGAATTAATGAAAAAGATGATTCGTCAGTTTGCCATTGAGTACATTTCAAAAAGTGGTAAAATTCAAGAAACTAGAAATGGTTCGATTGGAGCAAGTCTCGTATATAAAAGTATCCAAATGAACCAAGCAGAGAACTGCCTTCAGGATGAGCAGGAAGGCCCCTTAGACCTCACTGTGACTCGAACGCAAGAGCAAACTGCTCAGCAAGGTAAGTTGTTTGTTTAGCATGTGATACATACATTTTTATTTTAAAATACTTAAACATGGATGTTTTATGCTCATAGGAGAAATTATCTCTTTCCTTGATTTATATGGCATAGACAAGAGAGATAAGAATGTAAAGCTCTGTGGTGCAGTTTTCAAAGATTTATCTTTAGTTTATAATTATATATGTATCGTGCCAGTGCACATGAATGCAGGTGCCCAGGGAGTCCAGAAGAGGGAGTCAAATATCTAAAGCTGGTTTTCCATGCAGTTGTGAGCCTGTTAATGTGGGTTCTGGGATGCAAACCCAGATGTTCTGGAAGAACAATACATGCCCTTAACCACTGAGCCCTCTTTCCAGGCCCTCTACTATATTTTTAATAGTTTATAAAAGAAAAATTGATATCTTTCTTGTTTTTTCAAAATAGTATGAATTTCAATGAGCAACTTAAAAATAAAGGACATGTATAAAGAGATACTATGAGGAAGAATTATTTTCTAGTAGACAGCCAAAAACATTAATTTAGTATTTGCTCTTTAGTTTCTGCACTGAGATGAGAAATAAGTAGATGGTTTACCATTCAGTGGGTTTTCGTTGTTGCTTAATTTTTAGATTTATTTGTTTTATGTATATGAATGGTTTTTTTTTTTTTTTCATGTATGTTCGTGTATCACATGCATGCTTTGTGACTTCAGAAATCAGAAGAGGGTGTTGGACCCTCTGGCACTGGTGTTACAGATGGTTATGAGCCATCATGTGGGTACTGAAACTCAAACCCAGGTCCTCTCTAGAGCATCAATTGCTCGTAACTGTTAGGCCTTCTCTCCAGTGTCCCCTCCATCCAGTTTTTTATAATATAATGGAGAAAGGGGAAAGTTACCTGTGATAAATCTCTACACTCCTATAATTAAACATACAGAGATAAATTTTTCAGAAGGTATTTATACCATGTTGAATCTATGTAAAGTAGAATTTATTTGTACCATATCTGTGATTTCACAGAAGAAAGACAAAAAGAGCCCTTTAAGAATGTGGGGAGGAGGCCGGGCGGTGGTGGCACATGCCTTTAATCCCAGTACTCAGGAGGCAGAGCCAGGCGGATCTCCGTGAGTTCGAGGCCAGCCTGGGCTACAGAGCAATATCCAGGACAGGCACCAGAACTACACAGAGAAACCCTGTCTCGAAAAATTTTTTTTAAAAATAATGTGGGGAGGAAGCCAATAAATGGCTTATCTGGAGATAAGAGAAGGAATAGCTTTTATTAGCATGGTTTAGGGATCATATTACTTCTTAAAGCTGTGGGGGAAAACAAAAGGTATCATTGAAAAGATCCTAGAATGTATTGGCATTAGGACTCTAACATTAGGACATCATCATCATGGATCAGTGTTTAGAGGAGACATCTCTACAGTGTGTGAGACCCATCAATATTGAAACATGGATGTAATCCCCATTTTTGGTCCCTAATTTTAGACTGTTAGCTATGTTTCTAAGAAATATTAAATTATTAGTCTATAAGAAAGGTAAAATATAACTACAATTTAAGACTTAAGAAAAATATATATCTGTACTTTGTCCTTTGGACATTGTAAAGCATGGGGTTTTTTAATCTTTATTTGCTGTTTATATTTTATATATCCTGTACTTTTACAGAAGCAATTTAGCATTCTACAGGCTAGAACATGAGCCTAGGTATGTGACAGACTTATAGTTGCAAATAGGAAAGGATGGCAAAAGAAAGGAAAATTGAAACTTACAAACATTAAGTCCAAAATGCTAAATAAATTTCATCAAATTGAATACAGTAAGATATTGCACACATCCATAATCTCAGCACGTAGAAGGTAGAGACAAGAAGAACAGAAGTTCAGGCCCAGCCTAGACTACTTGAGACCTGTTTGAAAGAAAGAAAAAGGTAAAATAATAATAATAATAAATAGACAACAAACAATGAAACTGATAAACTGTGTAAGACCTTACAGAGATCATATAACTTTCTGAAGGTCATAAAATAAGATCTCTAAAGCAAGTGCTTCTATTTCAACTAATTAGGAATGCTTTTGCAGATAGAATATCCAGTCAGAAGTTTACCAGTTTGTTGATTTTACTAAAGTGAAATGACGACCTGATCCTAAAATTGACAAGCAAGTCTTAAGGAGCCAAAGAAAACAAAATCACACCTTTAGTCCTAACACTTGGAAGGCAGAGTCAGGTGGATCTCTGTGAGTTCTCAACCAGCCTGACAGCCAAGGCTACACAGAGAAACCTTGTCTTGAAAAACAAACAAGCCGGGCGGTGGTGGCGCACACTTTTAATCCCAGCACTCGGGAAGCAAAGCCAGGCAGATCTCTGTGAGTTCAAGGCCAGCCTGGGCTAGCAAGTGAGTTCCAGGAAAGGCGCAAAGCTACTCAGAGAAACCCTGTCTCAAAAAACCGAAAAAAAGAAAAACAAACAAACAAACAAAAAAACAGAAAAAAAAAAAAAAGGAATATCCAAGGTAATGAGAAGCTTGCTTTAAGACCCATGAAGGATTTATAGTGCAGTAATTAAGACTTTTGGTCAGAATATAAATCAGTAAGAGCTCAGAAATTTCCCAGGATTACTGAAATTTTAGTAAAATACAGATGTCAGTATAAATCACTGGGGAAGATGTCCTGTTCTGTACATGTTCCAAGGCAACTGGTTACACACCTGGAAGGAGGGTGACAATCACTACCTTACACTAGTCATAAAAATGTTAAGGGGTAAATGTAAAAAGAACACTATACAGAATAGACTAGGCTAATGAAGCTTCTAGAATATGACTGCTTGAATTAGAGAATGCAGTTTTCACTACTTACAGCCTTGTGACCTTTGCAGGACATTGATCATTTTGTTCTGTAACTAGAAAATTAGTATTAATAAAAGTCATGCTGTTGTGTGAACTTTAATGTCTAAAATTGCACTCTTAGTATGGCACTGTCCTAGCTGCTTTCTGTTGCTGTGATAGGCATCATGACCAAAAGCAACTTGGGGCAGGAAGCAGGTATTTGACTTACACATCCTGATCATTGAGGGAAATCAGGACAGAAAATGAAGCAGGAGCAGAGGCAACGTACCATGGTTGCTTGTTTTCCATGGCATGCTCAGTTTGCTTCTTAAACAATCCCGGACCACTTACCCAGGGGTGGTACTTCCCATAGTAGTCTGAGCCCTTCCACATCAATCATTAATCAAGAAAACTCCCTCACAGGCCAATCTGATGGAGGCAGTTCCTCACTTAAGGTCCCCCCTTTCTGAGGTAATAACAATTTGTGTCAAGTTAACAACTAGGATTCGCTGTCACAAGCCCACCATTGTCATTTTAGCACTCAGTCACATCTCCTTTTGTTGTGCTTAGTTTCCAAATACAAACACCAACCAGGACAGAATCGTGTAATACGATACAACTGTTCCATGTACAACCGCAAATGCATTCTATATTTTAGAGTAGGTGGCAAAGTACTTTGAAGAATGCTTAGTCTTTTAGTTTCTCATAATTTAAACATAATAATATACATTTACAACAACTGCTGATTTTAACCTCAATCAATTTTACCTTGTGTGGTTAAATAGAGTAACGAAAACAGATGCTGGCTTAATATATTTGTACACAAACATGTTAACGAAGTAAGACAAAAATAATCATGTGGCCTCATCTGGTATTTATAACTACCTTCCTCTCCTACCCATTCTGTATTTCCTCCACCCTCAGCAAGCCCCTCACCAGGTCTTGTTCTCTCATTGGAGCAGTGACCCATACATTGATTCCTGAACAGTTTGCCCTTTGTAATCCTACCTAGATTGGATTGTTATAGTTTCCATTGACTAGTTATAGGACATGGTAGCACTAAGAGACACCCTAAGGATCTCCTATACTACAGATGTGATCTTCCCTACATGTATGTCTATTACTATTTGTGTGCAATTGCCTGCAGAAGCCAGAAGTGGGCATCACATTCTCTGGAACTTGAGCTACTGGTGTTTTTCAGCCACTATGTGGGTGTTGGGAACTGAATCCAGGTCTTCTAGAACAATGGCCAACGCTCTTAACCACTAGGCCATCTCTTTAGTCCCTGTTGTTCCTTTTTTATCAGTCTGTTGAATTAAGGGAATCAGAGCCCAAAATAGCCAGTTGGCAGTCTTAGCTTCCAGTTCAGTGGAATGCTTATTGTGTCTCCTCATAGACGTACTCCCTTCTCTGGCACCAAAATGTCTAGGCCAGTTAAAGTATAAGGTAACAGGAACAGGAAGCAAAAGTTTTCCTAGTTTGTCACTAGGGACAATAGTGAGTGGAAGCTCCTAGATTCCACCCCTTGATTCTTGTACCCATTAATCCTAGCTATAGGAGAAACAGTACCATATATTGGACACTGATTTAAAGCATGTACGGCCTTCTAGATAACATTCCCATTCCCCAGCGCTCCAGGCTATTGCCACCTATTTAGTGCTATCACTGTTTAAAGGGTCGTTTTACTGTTTCATCAAGCTAACTGCTTCAAGATAGTGGGGAACATGGTATAACCATTGGAGTTTATGATATTGGGTATATTGTCACATTTTTCTGGCTGTGAATGAGTTCCTTTGTCAAAAGTGATGCCGTGTGGAATACTGTGCTCATGATAGTAGTTTGGACAGAAACATTACATACAGAAAAGGAAAATCCATAACCAGAATAAGTATCTACTCCTGTAAGGGCAAAGCATTACCCTCTCCATGAAGAAGTGGTCTGATGGAGTTAACCTATCACCATGTTAACTCCAAGGAATGACACCATATTAGGGGTTCATTGTTGGTCTCTGCTGCTTGAAGATTTGGCACTCAGCAGCGGCTGTAGTCAGGTCAGCCTTGTTGAATGGAAGTCCGTGTTGATGAGCCTATGTATAACCTCCATCTCCCAGCATAGCAACTTTTTTCATGGGCCCATTGTGCAGGAACAACCAGGGATGGCCAGGGAAAGACTGACTGCACAGAATGAATCATGC